TTTTTATGTTAGAATTGGTGGATTTAACCTGACATAATCAAAAGTACCTTTGCAAAAACTCTGGTGTCTTATGAAAGGGACATTTTCTGTCCCAATTGCAGATAAAAGTTTAATGTTTGCATTTGGACCAACTTTTCAATAACCACGCTGTAGTTAATCAAAATGACATTCGAGTCACGCAATGATCAATTTAATTATAACGAAAAAATATTGTTACATAAGATTTGCAAGCTTATCAGTTATGCTCAAGGCTTAAAATGTTGAAGAGCATATTCAATAATCCCAAAGCTATTTATAAGTATGATCCAATGAAAACCCGTTTCTCTCTCTGGCTTCTATGGAGTATGCATAGGAGACCTTGGTTTAATTGTTGCATGTTCCAAAAAGAGGGGGAGGGGTATATTTCAAAATATTAGGGCATTGTTCTTAAATATTTCAGATGAACCAATTATCTACTGAACAAATATTTGCTATTATTATTTGGGGCGTCTTGATTGACAAATAAAAAAGTCAAACTGTTATAGGCTATGGTGGACTGCATAAAACATACAATGACCTGAAAATACACTGTGCCAACATAAGCTGTGAAGCAATTAAAACATTTCTTAAACTTTGTAATCACTGTGCTCTAAAGAAAAAAACGTTCTAAGCTTTCAAAACTAGTCATCAAACCAGTCAGATCGTCTTATTTTAGTTCAAAAGACAAGTTGACTTAATTGATTATCAATCAGTCCCAGAAAGTGGCTATGAGTGGGTGGTACATTACAAATTTTGTACAGGTTAAAACCATTTTAGGCAATATTTTTGTACATGTTATAACATGTACGAGGTACTTTTATACATGTTATAACATGTACTAAATCGCAACTTTAGGTCAAACATTCAAATTTCCCGGCGAAAGCAACGTAACTGGCATACGTGTCATTTTTCAACAATACAAATAGGAGATAACTTTGTCATTCGGAAACTTCAGGGTTGATACATATAAAAAGGAAGATGTGGTATGATTGCTAATTAGACTACTCTTCCCAAGAGACAAATTGACACAGAATAAACAAATATAGGGCATCGTGAGGCCTTCAACAGTGAGCAAACCCCATACCGCATGGTCAGTATAAAAGACACCGAAATGGCAAAAGTAAAACAATTCAATCGATAAAACTAACGGCCTAATTAATGTTCAAAACAAAGAACGAAAAACAAATATGTAACACAGCAACAACCACTCAATTACAAGCAGTAGACTAGGGACAGACACATACATACTGAATGTGGCGGAGTTAAACATGTTAGCAGGATCCCAACACTACCCTAACCTGGGACAGTGATATAACAGTACAGCATAAGAACGAACTATAAAAATCAGTTAAAAATGCTGAACTCATCAGATAGATACAAATAGAAATAAATCTAACAAAAACATTAAGTAGAGATCTGAGAGTACTCGCACGTTTAAAACAACGATAATCCCTCATAGACTGATGAGTGACTCGATACCAACGCTGAATTAGTCAGATTTAAGACTGATTTTACAATTCTAAAATCGTTCATAGATATCGAACGGAAATGTCTTCAATGAATGTTATTGTTATATTTGATTGATGCTTTTTGTGCTTCTTTGTTAAATGTGTGTTTGTTTTAAGATTATGACACCTAAACAATGTTGTGTACAAGTTCAGTGAAAATATACAAGACTAACCAAGGCCAGAGGCTCCTCACTTGTGACAGGTGCAAAAATGCGTTGTGGCTAAACTTGTTTTGTGAGATCTCAACCCTCCCCCTATACCTCTAGCCAATGTAGAATAAAGAAACACATAGCAATACGCACAATAAAACTCAGTTTAAAAGAAGTCCGAGTCCGATGGCAGAAAAGGTAACAAAAGAAATTAAGCAACATGACAATGATGCATAAATTAACAAAGGACTACTAGCAGTTACTGACATGACAGCTTCAGACCTCAATTAAACTGATTGTAAGATTATGTCTTCACCATAGATTTATCATGTAGATTTAAGTTCCTCTCAATATCGTAATGTGGGTATCTTTCTTTTTAAATGGTTAAAGAGTATTGGTTGTCGCAATTAAAATCATCTAAATCATCTTTCGACGGACATCTTTATAAATAAATAAACATCAATATAATTAAAACTAAAAAATAAAAATATATTATATGACAGCACTCATTTTGATAATTCAAATAATAACGAAATTCAATTCTGGCTTATACACTATAGCCATGATACTGGAAATTTATTAGTAAATACGTAATGCGTATGTGAAATTAGACAAGCCTCTTCCCAGCATGGCACTAAGCAATTACTGGCTCGTCATTGAACAGGTACTTTTTTTTGCGCATTGTATAATTCCGTCAGACGCTAAATGTAGAAAACCCTACCTACACCATATATTTGTTTTTAGAAAAAAAACAATAGGCTTCACTGCAAAAAATCTTAAATCTTTCAAAGAGAGGCGACAGATGTAAAATACTAACTATTTCAGTCAAAATTGTTCGTTCTTCAATTATGTCGCGATTTAAACTTCATTCTGGTATCTCAATCATAAATCTAATGTATGCTATTTAAAAAGATGTTCATGGTAATATTGCATGAAGTACGTGTTGTTTCTTTTTTTTCTCTCTCTCTCTTTCTTGAGCAGAAATATTCAACCAATGTATTTGTTGTAAACGACATGATTAGTTATTTATTTTACGCAGATGACCTCGTTCTCATTTCGGACTCAAGTAAAGGCTTACAGTCTCATCTCAACGTTCTACATGATTGGACAAAGAAAACTCTTCTTAATATGAACATTGAACTAGATTACATAGGAAAGTACCGTTATCTAGGCCTTACACTATCCGAAAACATAGACTTTAAGGTTTCTGTTAATGAGCTGTCGGCGGCAGCTAGCAGAATATTGGGGTCGTTAACATCCAAATTGTTGCATATGGGAAATATGGACTTTGAAATATACACAAAGATATATGACAACACGGTCATCCCAGTTATGGATTAAGCGTGTGGAATATGGGGTATCAAGCGCTATGACTCACTTGAGAGACTACAATACAGAGCAATTAGGAAATTCCTTGGCATTAGCAAATGTGCTCCGATTCCTGCTGTCTTAGGGGATATGGGTTGGCTACTTGTATATATTCATACGCAGTGTAATGCGATACGCCTATGGAGTCGCCTCATGAAAATGCCGGACAATAGACTTTGCCGTAAAGTGTTCTGTTGGGACATTGACACCGCTACACGCTACAAAAATACCTGGTTTAACAATATCAAGACAATTATGAATACTTGTAATCTTACGCATTTGATTAACTACAGTCGCGACGACATTTCTACATACTACGTGTTGGAAACAGTCAAAAGTAAATGTGTAGATGACTTCAAAGATAGATGGATTAATGAAGTGCGTACAATGCCAAAACTGAGAATGTATAAAATGTTTAAGTCCGAATTCTCAACTGAGCCATATGTAAAAAGACATTTATCAAGGATGCAACGTTCGGCAATTGCAAGGTTTCTTCCGAAACATTCCACCTAATCTACGTTTATTTAAATTATGTAATTCGGGTTCGATTAAAGATGAAACACATTTCCTTATTTATTGTGACCGTTATACTGATGTACGAAACATACTGTTACTAGAGTTACCATCTATTCACCCAGTAAACATTGTATGACAGGGGCGTAGCTGTCGTTAGGCACTTTAGGCACGTGCCTACACATAATTTTTTCACAATTTTTTTTTTTTTTTATTAAAAAAATGATAAACAACGTTATCTGTAGATGTACGCCAGTGAAGTCGTCAAAACTCTTTAATTATCGAATGTCATGTGTACACTTGTCTATCATCCTTAGTGAATGGAGTATAGGATAGAATTGTATGTCATTATGTTCCCCCTTATAAAGAAACTATAAACTAGAACTTTGGTTCAGATCATTTCACTTCTATCAACCAATACTTGAATGAACCTCAACTTAGACACATTATTTTTTTTAATTAGTTACTGTTGGCTTTCAACTAGCTTTCCACTTGGTCTTCATCCGACCTACAATAAAACCCTTGCCAAAGTTGGTCGTCCGTTTTGCTGTGCAGGATGTATAAATACGCATTCACGTCTGGTCAGAATGGGGACGTTAAATCCGATGCCTAGTGTAGAGAGAATGCCACGCTCTCTGCACGTTAAGAAACTTGCAACAACTCTTTGAGGGGTTCGTAGGTGGTCTACTGAAAGGCAAAATTTCAGTTCCTATCCAATAAATCCTCATTTTCCAATGCATGACGTTTCCAAATTTCCAGACCTTCGTCCTGGACGATCCCTATTACAGGACCTAGCTACCTGTTGTATTTATTGTAAATTTTTTTTTGTCCTGAACATGCATGAACTATTTGCCACTGGACGTTTAGCAATCAATCAATCAATCAACTAGCTTTCAGTAACTTAGAGTACTCTCAGATCTACGTGTAATGATCATAACTATTCAAATTCCTAAGCAGGTAGGGATTTTACAGTACAGGATATAAGGAAATATGAATTTCTTGAATTTTGTTCGATAGTATGAACAGAACAGAACTTCTGCATGAGGCATCGACTGTGTGTGTATGTGTTTGTGTAGCCAGGGGACGATGATGGTTTCTTTTAAATGTTGGATCGTCAATATGTACTATCAATTGACGTATATATCAATTATCCTCAATCAGAAAGGAATAGATATGAAAATACTAAACAGATTGTGCTGCTTAATAAAGGGCTACGCTGATCCACGCGTCAGATGTAATTGTAATATTATGTATATTATAATTTCTTCGAAATTTTTTTCATGTATATTATCATGATAAAATGACTAGTTTTCATGTTTTTTTGTACACAAAATTGAGCGGCCCCCAAACCCCCTGCTGCAATTTGTGCCTACAGTATATTGGATACCTAGCTAAATAGGTTTCATTGCGTAGGAGTCTTAAACAAATATGATCAACGTATGCACATTCTTATAAACTTTTATCACCGAAATAAATGTTATTTCGTACAAATAAAACTATTGCAAAACAGCAAAGTAATACAATTAGAAAAAAATGTTATCACATTAATGAATTGAAAGTCCTTTAAAATCTGTTTTGTATGGCAACATAATAGTTGGACAACAGTCGCTAGAAAACAATGGCAATGCCATGCTATTGCTTCTGTGGTGCTGTTCCCGTATATGGCGGTGGTGGTGGTTGGTTGTAAGCGAAAGCGGATGGAGCTGGTTGACCTGGATGAGCTCCCATTGGTGGTGGATATGCGGCATTTTGTACAGGTGGATACACTGAGCCACCTGGCGGAGGATATTGATTGTACTGTGGCGGTGGTGGTTGACCTGTAAAAACACGAAAGAAATCATTAATTATCATAAAAAAAAATATTTCAATACTGAAATATTTGATTATATGCATTACTAATGCTAAAATTTATTAGTAGTACTCATGTTTATTTTATTGGACCACTGAATATAAATACCCTGTCATGTAGTGTGGGCTTTTCTAGTGTTCAATGGAAAGACTACTGTATATACATTTCCTGATACGAAGGGTGAACTGTTGTAGTGTTAACGTGTGAGAAAACTCTATATACACTCCCTGACCTGAAGTGTGGCCTGTTATAATGTTAACGTGTGAGACCACTCTTTATACATTTCCTGACCTGAAGTGTGGACTGTTGAAGTGTTAACGTGTTAGACCACTCCATATACAAACCCTGACTTGATGTGTGGACCGTTGTAGTGTTAACGTGTGAGGCCACTATATATTATATATACATACCCTGAACTGAAGTTTGGCCTGTTATAGTGTTAACGTGTGATATATACATACCCTAATATGAAGTGTGGACTGTTTCGGTGTCTACTGCTGAGACAACACTATATACATACCCTGATATGAAGTGTGGACTGTTGCGGTGTCTACTGCTGAGAAAACACTATATACATACCCTGATATGAATTGTGGACTGTTGCGGTGTCTACTGCTGAGACAACACTATATACATACCCTGATATGAAGTGTCGACTGTTTCGGTGTCTACTGCTGAGACAACACTATATGCAAAACCCTGATATGAAGTGTGGACTGTTGCGGTGTCTACTGCTGAGACAACACTATATACATACCCTGATATGAAGTGTGGACTGTTGCGGTGTCTACTGCTGAGACAACACTATATACAAAACCCTGATATGAAGTGTGGACTGTTGCGGTGTCTACTGCTGAGACAACACTATATACATACCCTGATATGAAGTGTGGACTGTTTCGGTGTAATCGTTACGTGAGACCACTCTTTAAACATACACTGATATGAAGTGTGGACTGTTGCGGTGTAATCGTTACGTGAGACCACTCTTTATACATACCCTGATATGAATTGTGGACTGTTGCGGTGTAACCGTTACGTGAGACCACTCTTTTAACATACCTTGATATGAAGTGTGGACTGTTTCGGTGTAATCGTTACGTGAGACCACTCTTTATACATACCACTCTTTTAACATACCTTGATATGAAGTGTGGACTGTTTCGGTGTAATCGTTACGTGAGACCACTCTTTATACATACCCTGATATGAAGTGTGGACTGTTGCGGTGTAACCGTGACGTGAGACCACTCTTTATACATACCTTGATATGAAGTGTGGACTGTTTCGGTGTAATCGTTACGTGAAACCACTCTTTATACATACCTTGATATGAAGTGTGGACTGTTAAAGTGTTAACGTGTGTGAAAACTCTGTATACATACCTTGATTATACTGTGGTGGTGGTTGTTGGCCTGTTAAAACACAAAAGAAATCATTAATTATCATAAATGAAATATTTCAAAACTGAATATTTGATTATGTTAATTTATGCATCATTAATACTAAAATTTCATTAGTAGTACTCATCTTTTTTTGTTTGACCACTGAATATAAGTACCTCTCATGTAGAGTGGGCTTTTCTAGTGTTCAATAGAATGACTACTGTATATTCATTTCCTGTATGTATGAAGTGTGGACTGTTGTAGTGTTTACGTTTGAGACCACTATATATATATATATGACCTGAACTGAAGTGTGGCCTGTTGAAGTGTTTACGTTTGAGACCACTATATATATATATATATGGCCTGAACTAAAGTGTGGCCTGTTGTAGTGTTAACGTGTGATATAAACATACCCTGAATTGAAGTGTGGCCTGTTGTTAAAAAAAGTATTTTCCAAAAGACCAAAAAAGTAAAAAAGTATATTTTAACAAAACGCATTTGACTAAATATAAGAGGTCGAACAACAAATGTTCTTAAACCCTGCTGACTGTCATTGGCGATTGCCAAATAAACGGATTTATCCTGCAATCAGCCAACTATTGTACAAATAACAGGTACACAAATAAATTTGTACTTGTACAAATAAAGACTCCTGTTACCCCTCTTCTATGTTGAGCAAGCGGTAATGTGGATATTTCTTTTTGCGTACCAGTTCATTTTGGGGTCCTCTTCGCGGTCCGCGTTTAAACTATGTCGATTTCTTTGAAAAATTAGAGACAATGATTTAGATTTTAACAACTAAAGCTTCAAGTGTTGGGTGTAAATTTCAGGATAAAAACAATATATGTACATTGTCGGAAACTATAAAATTGATTTGTACTCGCTGCGAAACAGGAGAAAAGCTCGGCGAGCTTCGCTTTTCGTCCTGTTTCTAAAGCTCATACAAATAAATTTGATATTTTCCGACAATGTACATATATTGCATTTCACCGATGTAATAAATGGATCTTAATTATAAATTTAATACTAAACAGAAAACAATAAATTTATGGAAAAGATGGTATACCGCAAACAAAAGGTGCAAACGTTTTTGTACACCATATCCGGATTTCGACAATTAATGTCTCTTCAGTGATGTTAGGAATCGAAACGGTATTTGGAAAGCCATACAATTTACCTCAATTTAGGATAGACTCTTGAATTTTGAGAAGTTAAAATAGGATGAACGGATCATATAAATTCGAAGGCAAATATAATACAAGCCTAAACGAAAAAATATAAACAAGTCTAAATTGAAAACAACGTTTAAGCCTATGATTGCGTTGGATAAAAACCGCAATTTTTATACGTGTGCATGCAAAACAAATTTCTTGTTAGAGGGGTCTAAATACAGCACAAACAATCAATGTCTCTTCAGTGATGTTAGGAATCGACACGGTATTTGGAAAGCCATACAATTTACCTCAATTTAGGATAGACTCTTGAATTTTGAGGAGTCAAAATAGGATGAAAGGATCATATAAACCCGAAGGCGAATATAATACAATCCCAAACGAAAAAATATAAACAAGTCTAAATAGAAAACAACGTTAAATTTGCTCATTGTTGAAGGCCGTACGGTGACCTATAGTTGTTAATTTCTGTGTCATTTGGTCTCTTGTGGAGAATTGTCTCATTGGCAATCATACCACATCTTCTTTTTTATAATGTATTGTTAACGTGTAATACCACTCTATATATATTTCCTGATATGAATTGTGGACTGTTGTAGTGTTAATGTGTGCGACCACTCTATATACATTCCCTATATGAAGTGTTAACTGGTGTAGTTTTAACGTGTGAGATCACTCTGTTTACATTCCTTGACCTCTAGTTTAGCCTGTTGTATATATTGTTAACGTGACACCACTCTATATTATACATTCCCTGATATGAAGTGTGGACTGTTGTAGTGTTAACGTGTGATACCACTCTATATACACGCCCCGACCTGAAGTAAGTCCTGTTGTATTGTTAACGTGTGATACTACTCTATATACATTCCCTGAACTGAAGTTAGTCCCGTTTTTGTGTGTGTGTGTGTGTGTGTTTTTTTGTTTTTTTTTTTTGATAGATAGATAGATACAAACTGTACTCGAAAAACTAAATACAAGTTTACATAGAAAAACAAACAATATACATACATATACAATTGTGGTGTTTACATGTGAGTCCACTTTATATACATTCCCTGACCTGAAGTGTGGTCTGTTGTAGCGTTGTCGTGTGAGACCACTCTATATACATTCCCTGACCTGAAGTAAGTCCTGTTGTAGTGTTAACGTATGAGACCATTCTATATGAATTCCCTGACCTGAAGAGTGGCCTGTTGTAGTGTTAACGTGTGAGACCACTCTATAATATACATTCCCGGACCTGAAGTGTGGACTTTTGTAGTGTTTTCGTGTGAGACCACTCTATAATATACATTCCCTGACCTGAAGTGTGGCCTGTTATATATAGTGTTAACGTGTGAGACCACTCTATATACATTCCCTGACCTGAAGTGTGGCCTGTTATAGTGTTAACGTGTTATATATACATACCCTGATATGTTGTGTGGACTGGTATTAATTGGTGTGACCACTATATATACATATCTTGATATGACTTGTGAACTGTACGTGTTGTACTGTTAATGTGTGCGATCATTCTTTATACATTCCCTTAATATATGAAGTGTAGGCTGTTGAAGTGTTAACGTGTGAGACCTTTTTATATACATACCCTGATATACTGTTTGGACTGTTGTGGTCTGTGCTGGTTGGACTACTGTTCCACGATTACCACGTGTTTTACATGCTCCACATAATACAGCAACAATAACTATGACAATGACCAATCCTATAATTCCTCCAATAACTGCTCCCACAATACTTCCGATTGCCCTAATAATATACAGTTCAATTATAAAAGTCATGTCATGGATTTCATTAAAGTATCAGTTCCCATAATAACTGTTTTATATAACATGTATAATGACAGTCGTGCCATGTCACCTATCATAAATTATATCGCCTAATTCAAATTATATTTTTTCATCACTAAAAGTCGTGCAATTACAGGTGTATAAGTTGTTGTCACGCCATGACCCCACTATAGTCTAGATTTTCAAACGAATAGAAAATATATTTATTAGTGACAGCGGTACAATGGCTTCTAATATAGTATATAAATTCGGATTCCCAAGATAAATATAAAATACTTTGGTACGCTCATTTCAGTGATAGATTCAGGAAGTGTTGATTCTAGAAAAAAAATCCACGGCAAATGCGTAGGCTGACGTCACGACAGTGGTTAAATGTCTGTCATATTTTTTTCCGATCATACGAAATAGGGTTTTCTCATGGTTGAAGGCTGTACGGTTGTCTATAATTGTTTATATCCAATTTGGTGGATAGTTGTCTCATTTGCAAGCATACGACGAAAAAATACCAAACATAGAGCTGAAGATTTAGCTATTCGGACCCTACTAAAACAGCAGGTGGTCGTCTCGTGAATTCCAAACGAATGGCTTGTGGCACCCAGCGTTCAGCTCATGGTAAGGAAACGTTCAGCTATATCACAGAAGAAGAGAGAATGGGATTTTGTTCTCCTTTAGAATGAACAAACCTGTTATCTATATTACAATTTGCTTTTAACTGCTAAGGATATAAGATAAAACAACTCCCGAAAAATTATGTACAAATGTACATGTATGTTTGACGAGAAGGAGGCAACCAAACAAAAATTAGTGAAACAATAGAACATACATATGACTTTGAAAATACAGTTAAACTGGTATATCAATTGCATCATTGAATGTAATAAGAGAGGTGTCCTTGATTTAAGTTTTAAAATGTACAGTTATTTCTACTGCAGATTAAGAAAAGGGTGATCTGACAAAACATGTGTGTTGTGTGTTTATTTATTCTACATTGTTTTGAGATCTCACAAAACATTTTAACCCTGCAGCGTGTCTGCGCCTGTCTCAAGTCAGCCTCTAGGCCTTTGCTATTTTGTATGTTTTTTATGGTTCATTCATATGTTTCGGAGTTTAGTATGATCTTCATTTTCGCAGAACTAGTACACATTTTTGTTGAAGGGTCAGCTGAAGCCAACCTCCGGTTAAGGGATTTTCTAACGGTGTTGATGACTAATTGGTGGCCTCGGGCTTAATTTTAGGTCGCTGTATAGAAGTAACATTTATAGCAGGTTTGACTGAAGTTCATCCCTTTAGGTTGACCTTCGCCTCCGAAACTATAATGTGGAAACTTTTGAATTGACCAATAACTATTTGGGTTTTTAACGCAACTGTTCTGGACGTTCTGGTTGGTATAAGCGTGATTTACTAAGTCAACGAGACTGCGCAACTTAAAATATGAAAGTAGGACAGAAATTGATTACTGTTATTGCATCATTTGTCAAACATGTATCAGAAAAAGAAAACAATAGCATATACGTTAACCAATTTGACCTGTCTACAGAAGTTGATACCACTAGCTTTGTTATTTAGTCCTAGTTTTAAAGATTATAATTTGGTCACGTTACTGTTGTAAAGATTATAATTTGGTCACGTGTGTCTGTTTTGTATCATTCAACAGCTTACAAGTAGCTCATTGTATAAAATATTAACTTTAAGTATTCCTACGGCTTGATCCTACCATTTTTCAAATGAAATAAATTAGAAAAAAACTTTTTATTGATATCATGTTTAAATGAAGTTTAAATTGTGTACTCCAGACGTGCGATTCCTCTACAAAAAAACTCACCAGTGACGCTCGAATAAAAAGAAGTTAAAAAGGCTAAATTAAGTACGAATTTGGAGAGCATTGATGATCCCAAATTTCCAGCTAGAGTAACCTATATGATATTAGAAACATATTTTGTTTTATGACTTCTTACCAGTAGGTGTTACAGTAGTAATAATAGTTGTAGTAATAACTGTAACAATATCCGGCGAAGGTAGGTACCACTAAAAAATATATATTATTATATACATTATATAAGTTCAGTAATAATCAGCTAAGGCAGGAAATACACGAAAATTCGGTCGTTAGTGAGTACTATAAAAATATTCCGACTGAGATACATGTAGGAAATACTAGGAAAATAAATAAACAGTCTAAAATTGGTAATACTTGGAACAATAATTACACTGTAGTATGGGGTCTGTTCGCGCTGTTTCCGTTTTGAGAATGTCTCTTTATTTTGAAACAATAACAAACCCCTATTCATAGCAATACACTAACTAATACATGATTAAAAAAATTGATCAACACGAAACCAATAAAAAGAGTGCAAACGTGATGGATGCGAACGTGAGAGGGGTCGAAAGTAATTTTTGGCGAAAGCAACCAGATTAGTAACAATACCCTACAGAGGTTGTTAAAACATGTTCTACTAGTAAATAAACAAAAGTTGACAAGAGTATCCGGCTGAGTTAGGTAGGTAATACTAGTAAAAAAAGTAAAAGTTCTAATTTAAAACGCATGCGTAGATATAGTCATTGTAAATATTCTACGACCGTTAAGTTATGTATTAGATTTTAACATTCTTTACTAGAAACATGAGGGATTGGATCAATGCATTTTAAATGTCAATAAAATTGAGAATTGAAACGAGATGACTTGTGTCAAAGAGACAACAACCAGGAGATGGTCCTCGAAAAAAAATATGTACTAGTTAATAGAAAAATGGACGTCACACTAAACTCCGAAACATATAAGTAAACCGTAATTAAAAAAACATACAAGACTAACAATGGCCAGAGGTTTCTGAAATCGACAGATATTTAATGGGTTAAAGTCACCTAAAAAGAAGGATAATGGCGTTTTGTATGCAAACTATTTTGACTGCAAAGTAATGTATTTGAACAATCTATTTTGGATTTATATTAATGCTTCTGTAATAGAAGTAAAATTCAAATGAATTTTAGATAAGCTCTAAACTCACGAATTTCAATAAAAAGGTTTTCTTTAAAAGAGTTTCTTTAAAAGAAAACCATTTGAACATTTATTGTCGCGAGTTTATTTAGTGTACAATAGCCAACTATTTGTCAGAACAACTCTATTATTTGTACGTTACAAAAGTGGTGTATTTGTTTAATAAAGGCTTTTTGATACAATCAATACCCTGTGTATGATTTGAAGATTTATAATACTGTATAGTTTTTTTTAAGTTAAAGGGCAAAAAGTAGCCTTATATTTTTTTCGTTCTCTTTTTCATAAGACTATTTTCAGTACCGATCAAAGGATGATATAAAGTTACAAGACAAAAGTGAACAAATGTAAAGTCAGTTTGCCATTTTGCCATTTTCTTTTTGTTGCTGACATGTTTGTTTGTTTTTATAATGATTAACATTATCACACAATGTTGACTGTTGTGCCGCTTTTTTCGACATGTTTACCTTACAATATGTTTGTTTGAATTGTTAACACATTGTTTTCATTATTGTAAGTTTTTTTCATTATAGTGAAATAGTATGCTACAGCCATACAAGTGAGAAGTTTAGCTACATGTAGCTATAAAACCAGCTTTAGTCCACCATTTACGAAATATCAGTACCAAGTCAGGAATATGACAGTTGTTGTCCATTTGTTTGATGTGTTTGAGCCTTTGACTTTGCCATTTGATTAGGGACTTTTCGATTTGAATTTTCCTTTGAGTTTGGTATTTTTGTTATTTTACTTAAGCTTTTATCACTCAACACAATATACTTGCATACTTTTAACCGGAAAGGGGAATAAGAGTATAAAGAGGTGTGAGGTATGAATAATGAACTTGGGATATAAATAAGGAGATGAGGAGAAGAGGAGATATAGAGTTAAATAGGTAGATATGGTGTATAGTGGAGATATGGGGTACGAAGAGATATAAGATATACTTATGTAAATGAGAAGATGGTTGGTAAAGTGTTATGTGAGGTATAAGGAGAAGTGAGAGGTACAAAATGATATGGAGTAATAGTGGGGTATAGGGATTAAAAGGAGATGTGATTTATAAAGGGATGTGGGCCAAGAGATGTGGGTAAGGAGATGTTGTGTAAAGGGATATGAGGTATAAGGAGCTGTTGAGTATACAGAGATGTTTAGTATAAGGAGATGTAAATTATAAGGAGATGTTTGGTAAATTATAAGGAGATGTTGGGTATCAAGAGATATGAGATATAAGGAGGTGTTGGATATAAAGAGATGTGAAGTATAAGGAGATGTTGGGTATAATGAGATGTGAGGTATACAGAGATGTGAGGTATAAGGAGAAATGAGGTATACAGATATGTGAGGTTTAACGAGATATGATGTATACAGAGATATGAGGTATAACGAGATATGAGGTATAAGGAGAAATGAGGTATACAGATATGTGAGGTTTAACGAGATATGATGTATACAGAGATATGAGGTATAAGGAGAAATGAGGTATACAGAGATGTGAGGTATACGGAGATGTTGGGTTTAAAGAGATATGAGATATAAGGAGGTGTTGGATATAAAGAGATGTGAGGTATAAGGAGATGTAGGGTATAAAGAGATGTGAGGTATAAGGAGAAATGAGGTATACAGAGATGTGAGGTATAAGGAGAAATGAGGTATACAGAGATGTGAGGTGTAACGAGATATGAGGTATACAGAGATGGGAGGTATAAGGAGATGTTGGGTATAAAGAGATATGAGGTATAATGAGAAATGAGGTATACAGAGATGTGAGATATAAGAAGATGTTGGGTATAAAGAGATATGAGGTATAAAGAAATATGAGGTATAAGGAGATGTAAATTATAAGGAGATGTTAGGTATACGGAGATGTTGGGTATAATTATATATAGAGATATGGGTGAGAATAAGTGAGGTATATTAAGGAAAAATGGAGTATCAGGAGATGTAGGGTATGAAGAGTTGAAAAGTATGATAATGTTTGGTTTTAGGACATATTGGTTATAAGGTGAATACGGAGATGTTGGGTATAACGAAACATTTGGTACAAATAAGGAGATATTTAGTATAAGGATATGTGGCTAAGGACAAAGTCATGTACATGTATAAGCAGATGTGCGTAAGTACGTGTGGGGATACGGAAAATTGGGTCCGCAGATGTGAGGTATAATGAAATGTGGGGTAGAAGAAGATGCGGATGAGGGCATGGATAGTATAAAGATATATGGGTTGGGAAATGTAGATGATTAGGACGTTGGTATATGGAGATGTGAGATAGAGATTTGGGGTATATTTGTATAAGTAGATGTGAGCAAGGAAGTGTACGGTAATGGAGATTTGGGGTGTTATGAGATGTGGTTATATGTGGTTATAAGGAGATGTAGTACATGTATGTATAAGGTGGTCTGGAATTATGAATAATGGCATATGGGTACATGAAAAGATAAGGAGATTATGGGTTTTGGTGTTTTTTTTTTTTTTGTTTTTTTTTATTAAATGAGATAGTGGGTTAATGGACATTTAGGATAAAAAAATATGTGGGGAGAGAGATTTAATGTATTACTAGATGAAAATGTTGGATATAATAGTTGTTTCATTTTCAATCATATACCACATTTCCTTGTTTTGATTAGTCATTAAGACAGATTTATAAAAAAAAATATTCATCCAAATTGGCTTTATTTTACCTCCTCCAATGTGTAAACCATTTGGTTTGTTAAATATATGACTCATAACATGAACAAGAGTATAATTATAAACTTCATAAATAATAGTCTTTTACATCAAGTCAGAGAGAGAACACCCCGATTTATATTTATAAGTGTCACTAAACTGTCATTCATAACTGTAATGGATTAAATCAAATACGTTATTATAGGTCTTAGCAAAAACAATGATATATACTATAGCTGACTTTGCGGTATGGGCTTTAATTGCTCATTGATAAAATCCTATAGTTGTTATTTTCTATATGTCATTTGATCTATTGTGGAGAGTTGTCTCATTGGCAATCATACCACATCTTTTTATTTTTACATTTGTTGAAAATACCACACATTTTCAGCTTTTGGTATATAAAAGTTCAACTTTAGAATTAAGCTGAATATCTATTGATGGTTATTGATTGATTCCCCGTTGAGGTCAACGGGATATATTATACCTATGTTAAAAGATGTTTTTGGTCTTTAATTTACTTTTATTTACAGGTATATTATAGAAATCAGTTTAAATCGAGTTCACTGGACTGAAACATTGGAGATATATAGGTACGTAAAAGTGTAATCAAATTTCATATTATGTTTAAATTTATATAAATCACCTTTGACAACTAAATAAATATTTGAATAAATCCTTACGTATAAGCATATTGTCACTGGTCATGATTTAAAGTAAATCAGGCTATATATAAATCATGTAGTAAAAATAACCTTCAAGTAAATATTACAATTCATAATCAAAAAAGTACTCTCCCATTCCAATTTTTTTGGCAGAATCAGTTTATACGAAACATTTCTATAGTCTAGGAGATAGTCAATGTCTTTCGTTTTTCTTTTTTCTTTTTTCCCTTTTTCTTTGTTCTGTTTTGGCCAAAAGGTTGCAATATTGTTTCGTCCACTATACGTTTAAAAGTGGGAGGAGAAATTACCCATGATCCCCACCCCTACCAGCTTCTACGGTCCTTGAGCTGTAAACTAGAAAAAAAATATTTACTCTCCTCTGTCTCGTTTTTGTTTATATAAACAGTTCAAACATAAACATTAACTTAAAGTGAAGTGTGATAACTAAGAGGAAAGAGATATACTAGTATTTTTATTCTACTCATGCATATCTTACCATTTTGATTCAAAATTCCCAAGAAAAAACACAAAATCTTTGAGTAATATTCCATCTCAATACGAAAACTGAAATATATATCATGGAAATGAACATAGAAAATGGTATTTCAAAATGACAAGAAAACTACGTCATTTCTTAAGCAATTTTTAAAAATCATTGGAGAGGATCAAAGTTTAAACTCTATATTATATGATGTATATATAAATATAAATATAATTATAAACATATGCAATTGACATAAGCTTATCTTCTGAAAGTAAAATCTAATATACTAAAGTGAATTATAATAGATTTGATTGATTTACCTGTCAAAATAGTTTGAGAAAAATAGAACTTATTCGAGTATACAATATTGATGTATTTTTCATTTTGATAAAAAAAAAATTAAAAAATCTTGCTGCAGCTAGCACACTTCCTTTAGTTTGTTACCAAACATAGTGATTAAACAAAGTGATTTATACTGCACTCGTTCTATTTGAGCAGTCAAAATGCGTTGACTGTATATTTCTATGTCATATACAGTCACTGACCCGATATCACTTATCATGAATATTCAAATAGTAGAGCCAAAACTAAATTTAAATATTCATGACGAGCGCTTTAACCTGTCCTTGTTTCCAATGTTTACAACGAAGCGTGGAACGACTCAAATTTGTTTCTTTTACAATTGTTAGAAAAACATATTTCACTTGTTAATATATGTTTTTGTTTAAAACCTATAAGACATTAAAGTCATTATGTTTTATGCTTATTGTTGATATTTTAGTCCATACTCATACTCAAAGTTAAACGAATTCGTTCACCAACTATTGGTTTCAACAGGTAAATTAATGTACATTTCATTGTGGTGTATGTTTCTCCGCCAAATGTGAGGCCTTTTTAAAGGGGGATTTTTTTCCCAATATTTAAATCAAATAAATAACAATGACACAATAAACAACAATTAAAAATGTGTTTTTCTAGATTGCAGTATAAAGACAATAATAGTGTATTGACTTGACATATCAACTATATATTAAGGATTTGGCCCGAAACGGGGAAAAAGCTCGGCAGAGCCTCGCATTTCCCCGTTTCTAAGCCTCATCCTTCTATCGTTGATATGTCAAGTCAAGACACTATTATTGTCTATATCTCCTGCTATATTGTTGTCATGTTCTTCATAATCTGGGGCTCATTTAGGGATGGCAGATAATACGGTTTATCTCATTTATAAGATAAACTTTAATGAAATATATTTCATTAGATTTAGTTATTTTCCATCCAAGAACTACTGCATCATTCGGATCCGTATCTTGTTTCCGACTAATTAACATCAAATGACTCTTCAGCATAACATCGAACTAGCCGCTCTTGTAGATAAGTGAAAGTTTCAACCCCCTCCCCTCAACCTCTCCTTGCAATCTACCAACAGTCTCTTTTGTCTGCTGCTGTTTTATTAATTTTTCAGGCTGTTCAGAGAAAAGCAGGATTCATAATGTTATTGAACAAAATAAAAGAGGACAAACTAAGCCGATAGATTTGTTTACTGAATCATACCTCAGAAGACTTTATTTTATTGTTAATTTAAGAGAGTGGTATGTAGTTTTACATGGATATTCAGCCACCAGCAGAGTGAAAATGAAACCATCTTTATGATTTATTAGTTTGTCCGCCAGGAATGCATTTATCTTTAATTTTTCTTTATTAACTACCAGCATTTATCTTGAAAATAATTTTTTCATTATCTTGTAATAAAATGATTAGTCACAGTAAATAATATTTGGCGGCATCTGGGAAGATTAAGGGATTATCATCCTTTCCTGTATTGTATGTCGGATCATATTAGGTTTTTTCTTTCCTGTGGTACTGCAGTAAGTTTTGTTGAGATCATCTCATGTCTACCACGACGAGCTTAACTGCTTTCTGATCTCAAAAAATGTTAATCTTCACTCCACTGGCAACCAGAAGGTCACTATGCGAATATGAGCCGACGTACGTGGTGATCATGTCCCTCATTCTCTTTAGTATTTAACCTTGAGGAACTTGAGCATCCTTTGTCACCAATGGTGCACATACTTGTCAATTAAATCAATTACGTCGGCATTCTGCTATCATGTCAGATCTCGTCATTCGAAGTGAACTGTGGTTGTTATTTCCATATACATTGTTTGTTTGTTATGCTTTGCCTTAAACTTGATTCTCCAATTAATTTTCTATTTGTGTGAAACCATTTTTAACTGCAGTTTTCTAACATGATAACAGCAATGTCAGAATAACATTTTTTGGGGTATTCGACACGGATTTAAACAGTTAAAGGTCTCGGTAACCTCGCCCTTCTACGTTTTCCAAGCAACATACAAAAAAGTTGATACCTTTCTGACATAGACCTAATATTGTACCATTATCATAATTCCTAGTCTTTTAAATGTGGAAATAAATTTATGTTGAAATTAATCAACAAGTTTCACCTTTTCAAAAAGGTAAAGGGTTCGTCGCAGTATCGGGTAAAAAACAACTGCTGTATTCCTGACTTGGTGCAGGCATTTTCCAAAAAAATTGGTGGGTTAAACCGTCGTTAAACCTGTTTTTATAGCTAGCTAAATCTCCCACTTGTATGATAGTTCTGCTATATTGACAAAATTGGTTGAGCAACCGAAACAGTCATAATAGATTATTGTGACAATTATTGGGATCTATAGCAGGCAAAGCTGTGTAAATATAAATCATAGATATACATCACAACTGACAAAAAAATTCAAATAAACATACAAATATATCTAACAAAGACCACGACTAAATCAAATCCTGTAGTTGGTAGTAAATTGACAACGACGCCGATAAAACAAAATTTTGTAGTTGACAGTTACTGTACATCCGGTACATAGCAGACAATTTCTCGATAAATGTACAAAGTTAGTAAAATGTAAGTACAAGGGTAAATAAAATGGAAACATCACTGTAAAAACTTCTTGAGTCTAAATCGCACACGAGGATCCCCTTGATACAGGAACGCCTGGTTAAATACCCGGGATGCATAAATACCGAGTCACGTCAAAAGTCATGCATAAGACACAATGCTATTGACTTCTAGTTACAGAACAGAAGAAATCGACTAACCTGATTAAAGAAGCACCAAAATTGGGATTTTTTATTCCTGCAAGCTATTAATCACGTAGGTTCAACCATGGAGATTATAGTACTTCTATTTCCAAAACGCTTCAATCTGTCAAGATCTAAATAGTTCCGAGTCTACCAGAGTAAAATTAAATAGGAATCTTTAAACACTCAAAATTGTAAGAATCAGTAAAACTAACTGATTTTGTAAATCTGTAAGATCAGAAGTGTGTCTAACTTCTAAAAGTAAAACATATTTACATATTGCTCAGTGATCACCATCAAACATCAAACATAATTTTTTTGTTCCCTAAATTACATAGTCATTTACGTTTATGTGGACACAACTCAGCACATTCCGGATGGTTCCGTTGTGTACCATCTTTTTGTTAACATGTTGCACAAATATGTAACACGGATCGAACAACATATCAAGAATTATAAATTTAAGTCGATTGCGTCGACGCGTCAACTTAATGAAAAATATGACCTGTTCAGAGAAAACTGACCATACGAATTTAGCACATACTTACAACTTCTCGTCCAATCAAATTGCTTATATTTGCCTTCTAATTTTCATAGTACATACTTTTTCCATGTACTAAGTAACTACGCATGAATGACCACAAGGGTAAGATTTCATTGTATCGTAATCAAGATATTAAAACAAAAATTGCTACTGGCTATTTTGAAATAAATGCTGTGTTACAAATTAAACTTAATAGTGTGTAACTAGTTTTCAAATTGTTTTTCAAACATCCTACTATTTAATCTTTGGATCTAAAAATGTTTTTGACGATTAAAAGTTTCTTTCATTTAAATAAAGAGTAACACATATGTTTTTTTTTTTTATACCTTGATTAGAGTACAACGCCATCTGAAAATTGTAATCATTTATCTTCCATGCAATTACTTTGTACACAAAAAAGAGTGAACCATGAAACCTTGTGAAGGAAAATTACAGCAATTTGATATATTTCGTCATGAATTGATTGATTATTGGTTGCTTAATGTCCAGTGACAAATATTTCATGCATGTAAACTATCCACTAGACTACCTATGGGTACATACCAGGGCAGATCCAGTCATTTTTAAAAGGGGTTCCAACCCAAGATAAAAGGGGGTCCAACTGTATGTCCTCATTCAAAAGCATTGATCATCACAAAAAGGGCGTTTTCCATCCCCCTCCTGAACTCCCCCTCCCCCTTTTTGGATCCGCCAGTGCAAACTATCCATATGTGTAAAATTTATTATAGTTTTAGTTTTTAGGTGAAATTGAAAAAAATGTTTTCAAGATTGTAAAGCTTCCACTGCAATTTAATTATTGCCTGCTTTTGGTCAATTTATTTTGTCATCTTACCATGTGAAGAAGTACATGAATAGTAAAACACCGCTTTATGTCAATAAACATACTTACACCAGCAGCTACCATCTTTTCATTCTGGATTCAATATTTTACAATGATACTAGTGAGTAGATTTACAAAACTACGTACATGAGCTACACCTAGTCAGCCAAAACATATCAATAGACTAATTACAGGATTACTCAAGTTGTAAATATGTGCTAAATTGGATAGTGTATGGAAAGGTATATACTATGAAATTAAGAGCTCGGGGCAAGCCCCTCGCTCTAAATTTCATAGTATATACCTTTCCATACACTAACCGACACATAGCGATTTGAAAGGAAAACTTTACTGAGTAGAGATTACAAGTACATGTAAGACCAATTGAACTGGACCAGCCAGGTAAAATATAGAATTCATTGAAGTTCAATGAGAAAAAAATGTGTCACTCTAATCGTGCATGCGGAACCAGAACTAAGGAAAAGTAAATGCGAACAGTAATAGAAAACAAATAAAAGATAATTGAATTTTAATTATGCATTTTTGTCGAGCCTTCGACTTTAGTCGAAAAAGCGAGACATAGCGATCCTACATTCCGTCGGCGTCGTCGTCGTCGTCGGCGGCGGCGTCCACAAATATTCACTCTGTGGTTAAAGTTTTTGAAATTTTAATAACTTTCTTAAACTATCCTGGATTTCTACCAAACTTGGACAGAAGCTTGTT